TGGCCTCAGGAAACACCAGACTGGCAGAAGGCTGGAGCGACGCAGGGCTGGAGCTGGACTGAACAGAGACCGCTTAGGCACAATGGGCCTGACTGTGTGCCAAGGGGTTTCAGATAGCGTAGAGGTGGAAGAGGCTACAACTGTTTCACAACTCACAGGAGTCTGTTTTCTAGGCTGTAGCAGAGACTGAGGTTGAAATTGAGGCTTCACCTGGGGCTGAAGCTGTGGCTGAGTAGCAGCAGGCCGAGAGACTGGCATCGCAAGGTCCGTCCTGTTCCTTAAAACCTTGTCCAGGACATCAGCAGAAAAGCCAGCAGAGGGACCAGGAGGAGTAGTGGAGCCAGAAGAAGCAGCTATCGGACCAGCAGGGGATTCAGAAGCAGAGGGATCAGCAGGAGCAGGAGAACCAACAGCCGCTGTAGAGCAGGAGCCTTTGGCGACGTCCTGGTCGCTGCAGCTCCTATTGTTGGTTGCTTTGAGATGAGGGAGTCTAAAAAGACCACAAAAAATTTGTAGTGTGCGCTGTTTAAGCTTGGAAGGTGCAAATTAGATTTGTTCTGCCCCATACCTTCCACAGATTTACAAGCAGCCACCATCTCTGCATCATCATCCAGCCACGACAGAGGGTGTCTCTGGGAGGGGCGTGATTCTTCCTGCTGAGCAAACAGGAAAAGCATCAATTAAAGACTTAGTTAACTTGAAAATTTTACTAATTATGTTTAAGGCTAGAAATAATTTACTGCCAACTAATCTACAAAGGTTCTTTGTTTTGATCCCAAAAAATGATAAGAGTAGAAAGAAACCAGAGTTTAAAAGGATATTTGTTCGTACTACATTAAAGCAAATGTGTATGTTAACATATGGTGTGAAATTATGGAATAACCTGGATGATGAATTAAAAAAATGTACAAGTACTGGTCAATTAAAAAAAATGTATAAAGATAAAAGGCTAAAATCGTATGATTTGGTAAGTTTAGGATGGAGGATTAATGTTTTAGTAGTGATATTATTTGTGGAAGTAAGAGAGCGGTTTATTTTTTGTGTATAAGGCTATTTTGTACTTTTTGTTATTTATCTTGTCTTAGTTAAAGGGGGTAGGTCATATAAGATTTTTTCTTCTTCCTCCCCCTATTTCACTCGAATGCTTATATTCTAATTTGAAGTTTGTATATTTAAACTTTGAGTGAAATAAATTATTGAATTGAATAAACAGGGAGCCCAGTGTGCGCCCCCCAGTGGAGGGTTAAGGTATTTATATTGTGCCGTATCACACACCATGGTTGGCGGCAGAAGAAGTAGTTCTTGCTGAAAACGCTGAAAAGTAGCGGGGGCGTTCCTCAAACCGAACGGCAACACGATGTACTGGAGCAGGTTATCTGGAGTGACGAAAGCAGACACTTTAGATGCAAACGGAGTTAGCGGCACCTGCCAATAGGCTTTTAGAAGATCTAGTTTAGTAACAAATGTAGCTGAACCCACACTATCCACACAATCCTCTACACGAGGCAAAGGAAACGAATCTGGGACGGTTTTTGCATTTAACTTGCGGTAGTCAGTAACAAACCTATATGAGCCATCAGGTTTATTTTCCAGTAAACATGGTGAGCTCAAGGAACTGGTGCTGGGCTTGTCTAGGCCATGTTCTAATAGCGAAGTTACTTCCTTTCTCATTAGTTCCCTCTTCATCGGACTAGCCCTGTAAGGGTGCATATGAACGGGGACGGAATCAGTAAGGCTGATGTCATGAGTTATTAGGTGGGTCTGACTGGACACGTCTGAAAATAGTTCCGGAAAAGAGTGAATTAGATGAGAAAGCTCCTCCTGTTGCGAAGAGGTGAGGTGACCCAAACTGGACGACAGGTTGGAGAGAGCTTCGGAGTTGCAGAGACGTGGGGTGACAGGGGGCAGCAAACTCCACGCCACAGCATCATCTTGCACAGTATCAGGCAGTGGGGGAGAAACCTCTGCAGAGACTAAACAAGGCTGAGTCACAGCGGTAGCACGTTCATGAAATAGCTTCAAACGATTCACATGGCAAGTCATGGTTTTCTTTCTCATTAGAGGAGTTCTGATCACATAATTGGATTCACTGAACTTGGAGAGAACCTCAAAAAGCTGCAGCCAGGGAGAGAGAGGTGTCGGCGCGCTAGGATGATGTCGACGCCAAAACAACCAAAACAAAGTGGAGACTCACCTCTCACATCAGGAAGAATCTGCGTGTTTCGAGCGTTATCCGTTCTCTCATAATCCGTTGTTGAATTGTGTTCGGCAGAAGCTTTTCTGGTTCGCGCCTCACTTTTTACAGCAGCGGCCCACGTCAAGACGTCGTTTCTGTTACTGATAAGGAAATGCATGCGTTAAGCAGCGCGGTCTGTAGAAGCTGTCATCAGCTGATCAGGAGCTGCTAGAGGTAGATGTTTTCATCCAAGAGCATCACGGCCCATGAAGAACAAGGAAGACGTGATGAATATCTACGGCTGCAGACCCGCCGCAGATTTGCTGCTGTAGGTGGGAATCTGCAGCAGTGAATCTGCGGGTCTGCAGCCGTGCCCTTCTTGGCGTGACAGCGGGACGTCCCGAAGGTCCGCTCACCTGTTCACCACTCAGACGTCCTGATCTTTTGCCTTCCTAGATCATCCAGCTGTAACCTGTTCCTGATCATGTCTTTAGCCCCGCTGTAACACTGATGCATCAGTCTCAAACGACATGGAGCTCAGGTGTTATTAGAACCTGTGTGTGTTCACCACCCAGCTTCAGCTCTTCTGTGGTTGGGTCTGACCCATGTTAGTACATTTAAGTCCTCCATCAGGCTTGTGCCTCTTCTAGTGTCATTTTAAAGGATTTTATTAATTTATTTAACCGATACTAGATTACCAGCAACAGAAATGCTGCTAAAAACACACAATTATGTGAAGCTGGAAAAATTAGAATACTGTGCAAAATTACATTTATTTCTGTAATTTAACTAGACCGAGATACCATTTAAAGGTTCGGGAACCTTTACAGGTGTTTCTATTTGCAATTTTAAATTTCAGCTGATTAGGGTCTTGTTAAATATCACACAGTGACCTTTTAATAGTCTAGATAAGTGTAATGTTCCTGTTAGTAGGTCCTCCTGTTAAGTGCTTATTTATTTAAATTATTCAGGTTTATAAAAAACATTTGGACATACATTTTATTATGTTCCAGTCAACAGTCATTTATATTTCACTATTGTAGTAATTCTTGCATTCTTTAATGAAAAAAGTAACTAAGTAGTTATTTTTGTTGGTAATCAGTTACTTTTATGATCTTGTAACTGAGTTACTTTTTTGACAAAGTAATCAGTAACTATAACTAATTACTTTTTTAAAGTAACGTTCCCAACACTGATTAACGCACAGGCCAGAGTTTCATCAGCCCGTGCTAGGAGAACGGGACCTGCTCTAGCTGTGAGAATGCCGTGTGTGTGCGCTCACCATGATGACCAGTAGAATATTCTGGAAGTCATTTCTGAATCCCAGTGTGGAGCTGCAGAACAGAGCAAAGTTTCCTTCCAGAAGTTGCAGGGTAAAAAATAGGCTTGCTCAGTCAAACTGCACACGCACGCACAAAAATCATTTTTGTTCCGTGAGGATTTATTCCACACTCACCATGAAACCCAGTGAGGTAAAGAGGAAGACTACGACCAGTTTGGCGTATGGTCCGTGTCCCATCACGAGCCTGATTCCTTGAAAAAAGGCATGGGCTGTGACCAGACCTGGGAATGCTCTAAAAACAGAAAATAAACCAGAAACAGTCAGAACACCACCTGATACCTGTACAAGTCTCTAGAAGCATGTTGCTTTGATTCCTCGCAACATCTTTCACCTAGTCAGCTGACTTTCATGCTTTTCCTTATTGCCTTTAGATTTGACCAAAGCTTTGGCTTGATCACACGGCCCGTATTGCTCAGCTACAACTGTCTCGTTATTGGTCACAGTCAAGCCCCTTCATCACATCACATCACTGTTTTTCATGGAACTTGAAATCAGATTTACAAAATAATGGATCATGCAAAATCATAAGATCTGGTGTAATTCGATATGAATGACTGACCTAAAAAATGAACAGATTTCAGATGAATATGTAAAACCAACAGAGTTGGTGCCATTTTTGTGTTTGCTGATGAAACTTATCTGTGGTAGCCATCTTTTGCCAAGTTAGAGCTAAAGCTAGTCTGAGCTAACCGCTAGTTTGAAACAAAAAGTAGTCTTAGTCTGAGCCAAACGCTAGTCTGAGCAAACCGCTAGTCTGAGCCAAAAGCTAGTCTTAGTCTGAGCCAAACGCTAGTCTGGGCTAAGTGCTAGTCTGAGTTAACAGTTAGTCTGAGCCAAAAGCTAGTCTGAGCTAACAGCTAGTCTGAGCTAACAGCTATGCATCCTCGAACAATTCTCCGGACATCGTTTACTGCAAATCGTGATAATTTCAACAAACATTAGTCAGCTAGCAAGTAGCTAGTTTTTGCTAGCTTTAGCTTTAACATCGATTGACTAACCTTATACCGGCTTCTTCTCCTGGACTGTCTGGACGTGAGGGGGCGGCCTCTGTAAAACACGGGAATCAGAGACGAACGTGACGTTGCTGTGTCGTTAAAGAAACTTATTGGTTTATTTTGAATTTTCCGATTTTCCTTACTGATTGGAGGATTAGCGCATTGTGTTTTCTAAAGACTTCAACCTTATTGGGAGATATTTTTCCACGTGATGTATTCTATCCCGCTGATTGGCTCAAATTCGGCTATATATTTTTCAATCCAACCGCCACTCACGTCTTTGAACAAGACTCGTTTCAGTGCGCACTACTTAGGCTTGCTTGGGGTTTTGCCTTCTTTTTAGCGTTGTAAAGCAGCATTTTGGAGAATATTTCATTTGTGCTTATTGTTATCTGTCGTTTGTTTGTTTGTTTGTTTGTTTTAAGCAATATTAGCTGTATTCAGCTGGCGTGTTCACTTCTTATTATGGTAAGTAATACTTGCATATTTGCTGTGTCGATTTTTACGCAAGCAGCTTCATTATTCTTGTGATATAATTTGGAAAAGAGTAAAGTAGTTTTGTTGAATCTGCAGCGTGAGTGAGTGTCCATGTGGCACGTGATGTAACATTTAACGGTAAGACACGAAGGGGCGGTGGACTCGCGCTGCTGCGAACCGGTTCCGCCGTTACATTCCCGCAGAAACTGGTTGATCACACCGGGACCAGACTCGAGTCTCAGACATTGGGGTTTTACAACCACAATGTCCTAGGAAGCGAAAACGCTTTAAAAAGGGAGGGAGGAGTCCTAACTGTTGCTGCAGGCTGTAACGGGGTGACTCGAGCTGGGCGACAGTTTGGATGTGGCGTGGCTTTTAACCCAAGCGCGGAGTGACTGACGCCGGGTTGAATGGACACGCTGTTCTGGGAGCCGAGTGCGCAGCTGTATGGTGACCTGGTGACACAGCTGAACACGGCGAGTCCTGGTCTGAGGCTGGTCTCTAAGAACAGGCAGGATTCTTAGATCTGGCTGGTCTGATCTGAACAGGCTTCGTGATCTGAGACAATCTGGTTTGGACTCTGGGTTAGGTTCGGTTCGAACAATGACTTTGGTTTTATGCTTGACGCATTCACTTTCCGCGCGGTGATGCGGCTCGCGGATGGAACGCGCTTCACAACTCGCAGTGTTTATGGTTTGTGCGGCTTGTCTCTGCGGTGAGCCAATATTCTCCCAAACTGAACGGGGCAGCATGGAGCTCTACAGCATGCATTCAACACTACACCATAGTAGAAGTAGAACTTACTGTTTACAACATGGCATTTCAGCATTTTTAACAGCGTTCTCGTCTTTTCCGACAGTGCGAGCTATTTCTCTCCAAGAACTATTAACAACATGTTGATCACGGTGACCTCTGAGAGCTGAATCATACAAATGTCTATTTACGAACCTCTGCCATAGTAGTTCTTGCTGGTCCGCCATGTTTTTCCGCGTGGTTAGAAATTTTCCGAGGTGTGCGTTGCGGAAATTCTGGGCCGTGCGGAGGCGCGGTGGAGGGGCGTGGTTGTTAAAATGACGCAACTTTTCCGCGCGGAGCCGTGCGGACCTCGCACCTGGTTGGTTAATGCTTGATGGTTGATGCCGACGTGAGTCGGTGTTGTGCGGCACTTCCTTAAATAGATTTGGCGGGTGACGTGAACCGGAAGCTTGGCGCTGGGGATGTTGGGTAATGGAGTCTGAGCGGCTCTGCGGTGCCTCCCTAGAGGAGGTTGAGTGAGTGACACAGGCGTGTTGTGTGAGAGTGCAGTTATTTACTGGTTAATAGGGCTGCTCGATTATGGCAAAAATAATAATCACGATTATGGTGACTGAAATTGAGATCACGATTATTTAGGACGATTTTTCAATTTATGTTGATTTTATTTGTTTTTATTAAGTCATAAAATTGCTCAGGGCACAATCAGGACAAAAATAATAAACTAGATGATCACTAAAATAACTCCTGATTCCCAGTATAAAAAGACCAATATACTTATAGCTCACAGTCTATGACCCAAGGGCTATAGACCTTGGTTTAACTCATGTAAGTCTAACCAGTACAGACCCAAATACCAATACCTTGCAAATACTGACAGCAAGAATTATACAGTGACATTTATAACAAATAAATGCAAAGAAATTGATGTTCACAAAATGTTGCATAACATTGAGTCGTGTCAAGGTGCTGTAGGAGAGTGCACAAGCACCGTGTCCTCGGAGAGATTAGTTATTAGTTATCAGCGTGAGGAACTTATTTCTACCTTATTTATAAACTATTTATTTACAGGTCCATCAGTTAATGTAATAATTGTCCCAACCACAGCTACACCCCCAACCCGGTCTCACAGCAATCGGGGCAAGCTGCACGTGTGTTTAGCGCGCCGCACACGCACATTTAGTCATTTTTAGTGGCTCAGGAGTCCGCAGGTGCGGTGTGTGTGTCACTCACTCTGGTTAATCCAACAGGGAGCCAGCTCCGAGAGCTGTTAAGCTAACCTGCAGGAAATGTTGACGACAGTTATCCAGAAAATAGCTAAGGGTTCCCAGAGATGTTTCTGAGGTGTTTGCTAGGTACTTTTAAGTTTGAAAAGTCAAGAAGGGGGTCTGAAAAGCTGCTAGAAATAGCGTCAAAGTCGCTAAGTTGGCAACACTGTGGAGGAACGCTTCATTTGCAACTCAGGGCAGCGCAAGCGGGAGGAGCAAATAATCGGCTTGTTTTGTTTTTTTATAATCGTTCAAAACTCAGATTGTAATCGTGATTAAAATTCGATTAATTGAGCAGCCCTACTGGTTAATATATTTTTGGGTTCAGTTGCTTTCATGTGGTCTAATGTGAGTCTATTTGGGATCATTGGAATGATCAGCAGCATTTTTTGATGTGACTTATGGCAGTTGCCCAGGGCATCATCACAAGGAGGATGGCATTCATTTACTTTTGGTTTATTTGGTATTTTTTCAGTCATTTGTGGAAATGGTGATTAATTTTGATTAATTCACAGCCTATGTTTAATTACATTTAAAAATTAGTTGTTTGACATCCTCAATTATAATAAATGTCTACAGATGAGATTAAACAAAACAGATGAGAATTGCCCTTAAAGAGCAAGTCACCCCCAAATCAACTTTTTTTTGCTGATAAAATGTGGAAGTAACGTGCATATTTGAGTCACTTCTGTTTTATGTTTCTAACAGAAACTTGTAGTTTTTCACATTTGAATGTAATATTGTCAAAAGTTTATTTTTGGCTCCCTGGAGGGCTAAGCCCAACCAGCCATTCCTCCCCATCCCCGCATATTTCTCTCCTCCTGCTCCCTCACATCATCACACAAACATACACATAGGACCTTGGGGGGTGGGCATATCAGGGAGTGCGGGTATGGACCCATTTCCGCATTCCTGTGACAACCTGCCCCCCAATTTATTTGCACCTTATACACTTCCACTGACGACATTCCACACAAACACACACTTAGGGCCTTGGGAGTGAGCACATTCAGCGGCATTTGGCAGGGGGATATCTCAGCCTCCTCCAGGGTGCCGGTGGCCACTTACAATTTTAAAGTGCACTTAGACACCGAGGGCTGTGGGTGCAAGTGGGGTGGTGTGGTGGCATCAACTGGCATGGGCAGACAATGCCCGCACTGCCCGCTCACCACAGCCATGGAATACACCTCATCAACGAACACTAACTATATTGGAGCAGGCGGAGGGAGACTAGGGGTCTTAGCACACCTCTGTTGTTGCTTGGCTTCCTGGGGCTGGAGGCTAAGAGGGAGATCTGGCTGTCTGGTTGGGGTCTGGGGTGGTGGGTTGCTGGGCTCAGCGTTGGGCGGGGAGTCTGTTCATCAGCACCCCAGCAGAAAGGGTCAAACTCTAGTAATGGTTGTACCCAATGTGCAGCAGTACCGGGACTAGGGTGTGTATAGGGAGCATAAGTGGGTGTCTGGCGTGCATTTTTAGAAGTCTTTGGTTTCATGTGTATGTGTGAGCATGAGAGGGAGTGTATTACTGTGTTTGTGTATGACTGTATATGTCAGGTGGGGCCTTTGACTCCTCCCTTCTCCTGGGACTTGTTTTGATGATGTAGATCTTCGTCTCCCCTCTCCCTGCCACACCTGGTGTGGAGTGCGGTACCTTGGTCTGCCTGAATGTTCGTGGCTCCCGGGTCAGGGGGTTTAAGATTTTTGGCATCTGTCTGATCAATCCCGGTGGCTGCCTGGTGGGGTCTGGGTCCCTGGGCTCTGCTGGGTCCCAGGCGGGGGGTGGGAGGCTGCAGGTGGGCTTGCCGCTGATATCTCCCGGGTCTCTGCCAGCTGCTGGTTGTGGTCCCCCCAGGGCGATCCTCTGCACCTCTCAAGGGGGCGGGGGCCTTTCTGGTTGCAGTCTCCTTGGGGTTTTTGTGTTCTGGGGCAGCGGCTGGATCTCTGGGACTTGGAGCTCTCTTAGTCTCCTACACATCTTTGGGGGCAGGTCTGTGGCCCCTCACACTATCTATTGGACGCTCCTATAGAGAAACCTTACATAAACAAGCGTGTGTACACACACACAGGTGCTCATATAAGTATGGACTTGGGCACGTTCAACACATGTCTTAAGGCTGTCGTTGCCACTAAATGCACTATGATTTATTATTATTGTGTGATTGTATTTCTTCAAGTTGACACAGTCATAGCTTGCTCCTGTTGTGTTGTGTGTCCCATTTTTTTCTCTTCTTTCTCTTTCTGCAGGCCTAGAAGCAGACTCTTGTTCATTATTGTTTATTTTTGTGGACCCCCCCCCCCCCCCTTTCTGCCCCCACCTTTTGTCTTTGTCTTTATCTTTCGCCTCTGATTCCGTGTCTGGTTGGAATTACAAAGTATTCAAAAACAATAAAGTTTAAAGTATCAGACGTGACATTAGCTTTGATGCTCCACTTGAGAGTAAATCTGTAAGGCTTTTCACCAACATTCAGACATCAATTCTGTTTGCTTCACAGCCAGACAGGACACGGGGAAAAAATAATGATAAAAATAATGTAATATTGTGAGTTTATTTTTAGTCATGCAAAGTTTAATGTAGAAATAAGTAAAACGTTATTAAAAGTTACAGTACTTAAAGCTAAACTGAGATTAAGTAAAATAATGTAAATACCATAAGACTATTCAAAAGTTTGACTGATAACAATGGGGTGTTTAAACTATTAAAGTTGCATTGTTTAAGACTAAATTAAAGAATATGTTGTGACTGAATATTTCATACAATGCAGTTATAAATAAATGTTTTTTAGTATATGTATTGCTGACTATTTGAATTAGTCTAAGCATTATATATAGAATACAGCAGGTGTATGTGCACTTTCATAAGTGCAAGTAAGTTCTAATAAAACTTGACATTTAATAACTTTTGATATTTTTAAACAATAGTTTGAAATTTAGCATGATTTAAAACTACATTCTTGGGGTTTGATTAGAAATTTTCATTTTTATATTATGATTCCTTGTTCAGGGGTTATCAGTAAAGTAGTAATAATTATGTTAATGTATTTTGTCATAGATGTCACACACAAGTTATTAATTTTTATCCTTTAAATTAGATTATACTGTGATTAACTCATTTAAAGAGCAAGTCGCCCCCAAATCAACTTTTTTTTCTGATAAACTATATAAATGTGTGTCTAATCGTGCTACAGAAATGCATAGTCAATAGTTTTGCACTTTAGTGCATTTTAGTTAAGATTTTAATTTTCTGCCTAAAACTGTCAGTGTTGTGCCGTTGTCAGATAAAAACTCTGCACTACATTTGAATTTAAATCTGTCATAGCTATTGACTAAGAGGTACACAGTGATGTTAGATGTTACATTATTATGTCACAATGTTGTGAGTGTGTGTATTTGTTTGTGGCTCTACCCTCTCGGTCTGCTAGACAACAGCATTTGTTGCATTTTTCAAACAGGAAGTGGGAGTTGAGTAAGAATCTGGTCATGGGTGACTTGCTCTTTAAAATTTAGGATTGTTTTTACAATTATATAAGTTTAGCAAATTGATGGTTGTATAAGATTCTAAAAGGTGTGAGTGAGTGAGTCTAATTCTGTCTTTACCGAGTACAGACACATGATAACATAGAAATCCATAGTGTTTGTGTTGCTTTTCTAATAGTGCTGTCATGTATTTTATGTTTCAAACAGCATTCACTATGCCTGGCAAAGAGTCCAAACGCAAGGCGGATGCTGCTAAGCGCAGCAATCGTCCAGCTCCGCCTATTCGTATCCGGATTCCAACGCACATCAATGATGATGTTAATTGTATGTATTGCAGTATTATTTCGCAGAACAAATTATTGTAGTGTTTTGCAATCGATTTAATCTATACTGTATTTATGTAAGATGAAAAATTATTAGCCAAAAAGATTGTTAATTTTTGTGTGTGTGTTTTTGTTTTGTAAGTTTCTGGAACTGGCTTTCGTCATCGAGTTCGTCGTTGGCCGACCAGTGTGATTTCTAACAAAGCTCACAAGTTGGTCCTTCCAGATGAGATTCCTGACAAGAAAGTGAGTGTAATGTCCACAAATATTTAAAATATAAATATAGATTTTCTTCCAATACTATCTAGCAGTACTCTGGGATTCTAAGGAAACGGTCAGATGGTGTTGAAGCCGCTATCAGTTACAGTGCTGCAAACAGACTGTATCGGCTTCTTTTTGACATGTGCCTAAAGTCTACCAACTTTTGAATCTTAACCAGAAAACCTAGTTGTGTTCATCTTCCTTTTTAGTCGGTGCTTCTCAATCTGTGATTTAGAACTTAAGCTGCTCAGTTATTTTTACATATCTTTATTTGTATTTATGTTGGTGTATTCTGTGATTAGTTTTACCATTTCATGTTTTATTGTTTGTAAACTTTGACTGTTTAATGTGATCTCTTTCTTCCTGAAAAGCATATTGCATTGCCGTTTGTATGAAATGTCATAGAAATACAGATTGTTTTATATTGAAATGTATTTATTAATTTTTCTAATTTAGTTCATCCTACTTGTTGGGGACTCCCACTTGAGGTCCGTGGCAGACGGCATAGTCCCTATGCCGGTTGGCGGCCTCACTTTTGGTGTGATGTCCACTCCAGGAGCTTGTGCAGATCTTCTGCGCCTTGAGGTTTCACAGGCTGTGTTACCTCGGGAGCCTGATGCTGTTTGCGTCATGGCTCCTTCTAACAACCTTACGGCCAGCAGAACAGTTGAAGAGGCAGGGGATGCATTTGAGCGGTACCTTTTGGCTGTTCTCAGTCGCTGGCCTAAGGTGAGAGGCTGATTTGTGTAATTTTGAAGGTATGAGAGATGACAGTAAACGTACATCCTTAAAAATAATTGTATTCTTTCTTCTTCTTTTTTTTTTTTAGGTTTTCTGTACCTCCATGATTCCCCGTTTAGTTGGATCCTGGGAGCGTCAAGACCTGTTTCAGCAGGAGTACCACCGCAGATCGGCTAAGCTAGGTAAGTTGCAACATAATTAGATGAAAAGGTAGTATTAACGACAAGCGTTATTGCTATTTACTCTTAGGTATCAAACAATCACAATTTATAAGTTTACATGAATTTTTTCCTTCTGCTTCGAAGGTGTAAGTTATGTGCCGATCCACGATCACCTACCCAGGTATCGTCTTAAACTGTGGTGCCGTGATGGTGTAAGTATATTGCTTGGAAGAAAACAAGGTAAAGGTTCTTAAGTTTGAGATGATAAATTTGTATTCTTTTGTTCGTGTTTGTGGTTGCAGATCCACCTCAGTGATAATCACGGGATGCCTATACTCACGCAACTGATGTGGAATGCCTCCTATCAGTTCTTGGAGACACACGCACCAAAGCCACTGGTGCAGCACCAGGTGTCTCGTCCGCAGAAAGCGAGTATTGTGCCCCGTGTGGTTGTGAAGGGTGTGGAACGCATTCCACCTCCACGCCCTTCCGAATGGACGTTTGTGAGACCTAGCGGGAAGGTGAGAGACTTTATAAAGTATAAATATTGTAAAATGTTTATAATTTTAGGCAACTGGGCCAGTAATGCTTCTAAATGTGTTTTATTTACCATTGCAGAGAAACCATTCAGGGGAATTTGAAAAGACTTCAAATTCCCCCAAGAAACGAGTGGTTGTTTCTAAGGTTTGTGAATGTTTTTGATTGATCTTTTTCAAAGAATTTTGATTAGATGATAATATGTGGTGAATTTTCTTCAATAGGCTGATGACACTTCAGTGGCCTTGAAGGAGTGTTTCATCCCCCTGAATCCCGTTAGGTTCTCACCTTCAATTCTGGCTGCCATGGACACGATTGCTCCAGCGGATGGTCCCACAGATATACAGGTAGCTTTAAAGCAAAAGTTTATTATCTTTTAATGTAAAGTGTAATGTTGTTCCTGGTGCTTGTAATATGGGCTGTCTGTATGGTATATTTGAAAGTATTGTACTTAATCGTATTATTTTCTGTTTGTAGACTACATCTGTGCGACATTTTAAGAAAGCAGCTAGGCGTGTCCAGCAGGAGGTTGATTCATTAAATTATCTGGCATACAAATACATTGTGGTGTTATTTTTCTTCACCGTTGTTGTTCTTTAATTATAGGTTGCATCCACACCTTGCATAAATCCTCTTGCAGACGTGGAGTCTGTTCGGTCTAGGAAGGAGGTAAGAAGCGTGTGTTTCAAACATAAAAACTAAACTAATCTTTATTGACGATGTATTGACCTTTAATTTCTTATGTATAGGTGTTGGACTGTGACCAGCTGCCTTCACCCCACCATCAGGAGGCATCTGGTTGTCCTGGGTCTGTCTCTGGGTCTGTTGCTGCCCATGCTGTGATGCTTCCTTCTGGCCATCATGCGCATGCATCACCCAGAGGTCAGTCTGCTAACACCCCTTCTTGCGTGCGTTCACAGGTTTTGCTGTCATCTCTAGTTCCAGAGACAACTGTTCAAAATCCTGTTGTAAATAATTTTGATAAAGATAAAACAATTTTACACAACGATGATACAATTTTAGACTCTGTCCTAGGATCATTTCATCAGGGCGATGGGCGTTTTAAATATGGGGGAGTTCAGTGTGCAGCTATTACTGTTGTTGCTTTAACAAAGCACAAACAGAAGAGTGTTTTCTCTTGGGATTTTGCCGTGTTGGATAACGTTGTTGAGTTAGGAGATGAGCTGTACACAGATTTGCGCGACAACAAGAAGATTAGAGGTGGACATGAGTTTCTCTCTGTTCCAGACTTGCCAAAGGAAATTGACATAGAAGAACAGCGTTTTAAGCTTGTTTACGGGGATTTCGTTTTAGGAGATGTAGATGTAGCTGAAGGCGAGTTAATAGATGCTGGTGTGTACACTCCTCTCCTGGATGGATTGAAGAAGATGTGCACACAGCATGAAACTTGCATTATGACATTAAGTGGCAATACTTGTGCTATCATTTGTGATAATGGACGTTATGCTGTAGTAGATTCCCATGCACGCTCCGCAGATGGTATGGTAGACCCGACAGGACAGAGTGTAGTTCTGTACTTTGCGAACCTTGATAATGTTTTTCAACATTTTCAGAGATTTGCTAGTGAACTGGTGGGATCTCAGAGGTTATTTGAGATCACTGGAGTGGATATTGTTCAGATGGACACATTTAAACATGTATCTGAACAAACAGATGACATTGACATAAACCCTGTTATTTTTGTTAGTGATGCTAGTACTAAAGATTTTCATTTCAGTCCCGTTTCTAGAGACGTGTCACAGGCGTTGAGTAAATGTCTGAATGTGAAGTCTGCGATGGTTGATGAATCATCTCCTGTTCCTTCATGTAGCACAAGTGTGGTTAACGTTGATGATGACAACAGTATTGTAAACAATTATACAATTTTAAGCTCACTTACAGGATCATTTAATCAGAGCGATGGGCGTTTTAAATATGGCGGCGTTCAGTGTGCAGCAATTAGTCTTGTTGCTTTAACTAAGCACAACATACAAAGTGTTTTTTCATGGGATTTTGCCATGTTAGACAATGTTGTTGTTTTGGGCGATGCGCTGTACACATATTTGCGTGACAGTAATCTAATAAGTGCTGGGAATGTGTTTCTTTCTGTTCCAGAATTGCCAAAGGAAATCGTTATGGGCGAACAGACTTTTAAGTTGAATTATGGGGATTTTGTTTGTGGAGATGTAGACATAGTTGAAGGCGAACTTATAAATGCTGGAGTGTACACTAGTCTTTGGGATGGTTTGAATAAGATGTGTACACAATATGAAACATGTTTTATTACACTTGGAGACAATACTTGCGCTTTACTTAGTGAAGATGGACATTATGCTATTGTTGATTCACATGCTCGTTCTGCAGATGGAATGGTTGACCCAAACGGTAAAAGTGTAATTTTATACTTTAGTAGTCTTGACAATGTTTTTGGATATATTCTGAGGTTTGCCAGTAAATTAAATGGAACTCAGAAGTTGTTTGAGATCAGTGGAGTTAACATTGTTCAGATGGACACATTTAAAAATGTTTCTGAACAAACAAGGTTGCCTCCAACAACAGGAAAGGAGGTTAGACGTGAAGAGTCATTTCCACTCTCGGAACCAATCAAGTTACAGACAGATGACACCGACATAAACCCTGTTGTTTTTGTTAGTGATGTTAGCACTAAAGATTTTCATTTCAATCCCATTTCTAGAGACGTGTCACAGGTTTTAAGTAAACGTCTGAATGTGAAGTCGGCAATGGTTGAATCATCTCGTGTGATTGGTGAATTGGGTGTACCATGCATGAATAAATCAATAGTGGCAGATGGAAACTGTTTTTTTAGAGCACTTAGTCAAGCTGTTTATAGCACCCAGGAATATCATAGAAAAATCCGTCTTGCTTTGGTCAATCAGTTAAAAAAGAATCCTCAAACGTATCAAACCATTTTAAGAAGTGAGTATTCCTCAGTTTCGCAGTACCTCACCTCATCCAGGATGCAGTACGTTGGCAGTTGGGCAACTGAAGTGGAAATTCAAGCTGCTGCTGATTATTTTGGCATTAACATATTTACTTACTGTAATGATAAATGGCTTAAATATACTTCCAATAGCATCTTTTCACAGCAGGCTGTTTATTTGGAGAATAGTAATGGTAACCATTATGAGACAGTGGTTTGTGTAAAACAACCTAACACAGAAACTTGTTATGGTTATTGTGGCCCTGTAGATAGTGTTTCTGGTAGATACAATACTCGACATGCCCCTACAGAACATTTAAAATGTTCCGTAGAAACTGTGACGCTTGAGCCGAGTTCCATAGATACAGATGGTGTTGGTGTTGCTCATTCAAATACTTTATTTACTCCTATGTCTGCAGATTTTTGTAAAACTCTGTGTAATCGGTTGAAAATAGATTATGAGAAACACAATTCTCAAGAATCCACATCAGGTGGGCCTTTAGGAAATGTGTGTAAGACAGAACATATTATTGAAGATGGTAACAGTTTCTTTAGAGCTGTAGCTCATGTAATTAGTGGGTCACAGAAGGGCCATCGTAAGATCAGACTCGCTGTTGTTTCTTATATGTCCAAAAATGCTGAAGAGTGTGAGAACTTTCTGGAAAAAGAACATGCTTCTGTGTCACAATACATAAAAAAGTCACAGATGAATTATGTCGGCCACTGTGCTACAGAAGTAGAATTTAGAACTACAGCCAGTGTTTTAGGATTACCCATATTTATCAACAATGGCACAAACTGGGTCAAATATAGTTCTCAAACTAGTAATTTTGTCACTGAGGGACTATATTTGTCAAACTGTAATAATCATTTTGAACCCGTTCTTTGTATAAGACTGACTAATAAAGAAACATGTTTTGGGTTTTGTAAAGTTGATTCTTTGCCAGACAATGTAAACAAATGCAGAAGGTCAACTATCATCCAGTTAAATGCTGACCCAAACATGGAAAAGATGAAAACAAGGAAGAGTTTTTCCAGATATTTAAAGCAAAATAAGGCTCATGCAGAAGCCTCTAATTATAAAACGGTAAATGCAGTTAAAGACAAAATAAAAAGTCAAAAGAAAAATGCATACAAGCAAAATGTTGCTTACAGAATGAAAAAGATCAGCGTGACCAAATTTAAATACAAATTTCTTCTTTCACATAAAGAGAAAGTGAAAAAGATGGCTTCGCTTTACTACCATTACAACTTGTCTAAGAAAGACAAAGTTAAACGGAGGGCCATTTTCAACTACCATCATAATTTGGCTCACAAAGACAAAGTTAAACAGAGGGCCATTTTCAACTACCATCATAATTTGGCTCACAAAGACAAAGTTAAACGGAGGGCCATTTTCAACTACCATCATAATTTGGCTCACAAAGACAAAGTTAAACAGAGGTCCAAACATAGGTCCATTTTCAACTACCATCATAATTTGGCTCACAAAGACAAAGTTAAACGGAGGACCAAACATAGGGCCATTTTCAACTACCATCATAATTTGGCTCACAAAGACAAAGTTAAACGGAGGGCCATTTTCAACTACCATCATAATTTGGCTCACAAAGACAAAGTTAAACGGAGGGCCATTTTAAACTACCATCATAATTTGGCTTATCAAGAAAAGCTTAAACAGATGAGTGTTTATAACTACCATCATAATTTGGCTCATCGTGACAAAATGAAAGAGTTGAGTAGAAAGAAATACCTTAATATTAAACATAAGACATGTTTAATAGAAAGCATCCAGCATAAAAGAAAGCTGATTAAAGTAAATTCACAAAACTTTGATTTTGTTGTAGGTCAGTTTTTAGAGAAGGTGAAAGATGGACCTGATTTTGTGTGTTGTGTTTGCTCACGTTTGTTGTTTAGACATCAGGTCTTAAATTGTAATCAAGAATACTATAGAAAAACCAAAGAAATGTCACTTATAGCAGATAAATGTATAAGTGACAATCATCTGCACAATTGCAATGATGCGTGTAGATTACCTTGCAAATTGAATATATGTAGAAATAAATTGTACATCTGTTACACGTGTCATTATAAAATGAGTAAATGTCACATACCCCCAGAAAGTTCAGTCAACAGGCTGACTGTTGATCCCATCCCACCTCAACTGGCATGTTTAAATACGTTAGAGCAACATTTAATAGCGATGAATATACCATTTATGAAAATGTTGGCTCTGCCCAAAGGTGGTCAGAATGGGATTCATGGCCCGATAACTTGTGTACCTGCAAATATAGTGGAAACGTGCAGTTTGTTACCACGTACCAACATGGAGGGGTCTTTATTACCTGTAAAGTTAAAGCGTAAATTGACATATAAAGGACACTATGATTATCAGTATGTCGACACACAGCATGTTCAGGAAGCTCTTCAGTATTTAAAACATCATAATCTGCATTACAAAGATGTAGAGTTCAATGAGTCTTGGATTAACACATTTACTCAGGAAGATGAGTCATCTGTCTTGGAAGAGGATAGTGGTTCTAGTAAAGATGAAGATACTTGCATAGATGGAGAAGATGAGTTATTGCATGACAGACAACAACACTGTATGTTTCAGGACACCTGTCTCATGCCAGTAGATATAGGACAAGAAGCATTGGATCAGTATGTAGATAACATATTAAATGTAGCTCCAGGTGAAGGTAACAATCCAGTGAAATTGCTTTCAGATTTTACAAATGAAGCAAAATGTTTTCCCGTCTTGTTTCCTTCAGGATCGAATACTTACTATGAAAGCAGACAATTTCGTTTGACTCTGAATCGGTATTTCAACAACAGGCTTCTTCATGTTGATGGTCGATTTGCTAACAATGTAGAATATATATTTTTTGCACAGTACATGTCTGAACTAGAGCAAGTTGTGTCCAAAGTTTCTATAGCTTTGCGTAAAGGTAAAAGCGGTGAATCTCAGAAGTTGGGTAATTTGATACAGGATCAGGATTCTTTAAGTAAGCTGTTAGAGTTTGATGATGGCTACCGGTTTCTTAAACCAATTCGCGGCACACCTGCTTTTTGGCAATCTGCACAGCGAGACCTCCTGGCCTGTGTAAAAATGTTGGGCAAACCTACTTGGTTCGCATCATTTTCGTCGGCAGATTTGAGGTGGACTAACCTTCTTTATAGTATTTTGAAACAGGAAGGCAGAACAGAGACAGTGGAACAGCTGGAGTGGGCTGATAAATGTGACCTCCTACGTAGGAATCCAGTAACTGCTGCCCGAATGTTTGATTTTAGATGGCATGTCTTCTTAAGGGAAGTGCTAATGTCTCCTGCCAATCCCATTGGTAAAATAGAAGATTATTATTATCGTGTTGAGTTCCAGCAGCGTGGTTCTCCTCACTGTCATTGCCTTTTCTGGGTTTCTGGTGCTCCCATTTTAGATAAGAACACAGATGAGGAGGTCACTGCATTTGTTGATAAATATGTGACATGTGAACTTCCTTCTGAAGACGATTCACTACATGAAGTTATCTCATCTGTCCAGCAGCACTCCAAACGGCATTCAAAGACTTGTAGAAAGAAAAAAACTGTTTGTCGTTTTAATTTTCCACGACCTGCATCTGTTAGAACTTTTATTAGTCGCGGCGAAAAGTATCAAGATGCAGTGAAGATTTGCAAGTGTGATAAAACAGATAGCACTGTACCATGTGCCTGTGCGTCTCAAGATAAAGCACATAAACAGGAAATGGACAAAGAAGTAGCAAGTGCCATTTTAACTAAAGTAAAGACTGCTATTTCTAGTGAAGACTGTCCATATAACAGTGTAGAAGGTCTGTTTCAGGGCCTGGGTATCAGTCAGGAACTATTTGAGATGGCATATAAACGATTTAGTCGAAATACACATGTTGTTTTGAAAAGGGAAGTTAATGAAATCTGGATTAATCAGTATAGCAAGTTGCTGTTAAAAGCTTGGAATGCTAATCTTGATATCCAGTATTGCGTCGATGCTTATGCATGCTGTGTATACATAATATCATACATGTCTAAAAGTGAACGGGAAATTGGCCTTCTGCTTGCTAATTCTCAAAGAGAAGCAGCCAAAGATGGTAATCTTAGTGCTAAAGAGGCCTTGAAGACTCTTGGTAATGTTTATCTTCATAATCGGGATGTTTGTGCTCAGGAAGCAGTCTACAGGCTAACTAACATGCATCTTAAGGAGTGTTCAAGGAAAGTTGTGTTTGTTCCCACCGGTGATAATATAGTGAAAATGAGTTTGCCTATTTCTGTTTTGAGGCAAAAAGCAGCATCACAGGATCTCACTTCAGATGACATGTGGATGACCGGATTAGTTGATCGTTATAAGAAGAGGCCAAATGATGATGTGTTCAATGATATGTGCCTGGCTACGTTTGCATCAGAATATCGTGTTTTGAGTAAAAACGAAAAATGTAGAAATCCTATAAAGTTAAGTAATGATTTAGGATTTGTTACAAAAAGAACTCGGACTAAACCAGCGGTTGTTCGTTATGCGCGTTTCTCTGAAACCAAAGACTCAGAGAAATTTTATCAAAGCATGTTGCAGTTGTTTTTGCCGTACCGCCATGATGGTGAACTTAAGCTTAACTGTGAAACTTTTGAGGAATTTTACAGAACTGGTTTAATTAGATTTTTTGATAGAACAAACCACTTGGTAAAGGCTGTTGTAGATTTAAATCGGGGTAAATTTGAATTAGAATCCGATCATTTGGATGCTGTGAATGATATAGTCGGTGATGTAATGTTAGAAGATGCATGGTGTGAGTTGTGTCCGGCAGTTGAAATGGAACGTTTGGAGTGTGCTGAAATACTGAAAGAATCGGAACCAACAGTAAGTGACGAGGCAGAAGTAATCCCAGATTTGGCTCCATGTTCAAACCAAATTGCACGTTTAGAGAAGAGAAACACGATGAGTAGAGGTGAAGGTCTGGCATTGATTAGGTCTTTAAATGAAAAGCAGTTTTCTGTTTTTAATCAAATCAGGCAGTGGTGTGTAGATAAAGTTAATGGTAATAACCCTGAACCACTGCATGTTTTTATTACAGGTGGGGCGGGCGTTGGGAAAAGTCATTTAATTCGAGCAATTGAGTATGAAACACAGAGATTACTGTCACCAAGCTGTAGACATCCTGATAATGCATGTGTAGTATTGACAGCTCCTACAGGGATTGCAGCATATAATTTAGGTGCAACAACAATCCACACTACACTGTCTATAGGAAAGGATGTACGCTTACCGTACACTCCTCTGGGTGAAGAAAAACTAAATTCTTTACGTACAAAATATTGTGATTTGCAGCTTCTTATTATTGATGAAATATCAATGGTCGATCATAACCTGTTGTCCTATGTTCATGGTAGATTACGTCAAATTAAACACACGGGTGACTTTTCACCTTTTGGAAATGTCAGTGTAGTAGCCGTTGGAGATTTCTTCCAGCTACCTCCTGTTAAAGGGAAGCCACTCTATTCTGATGGTGTAGGTAGCAACTTATGGTCAAGCCTATTTAAAGTTGTACAGTTAACTGAAGTCGTTAGACAGAAAGATGCTGTGTTTTCTGGACTGTTGAATAGAATCAGAACTCATACAAAAGGTACACCATTGTTACCTGAGGATTTAAAGGTTTTAAAAACTTGTGAAACAGGTGAGGCGAGCTCAGCATTGCACATATTTGCAACAAATAATCAAGTAAATAATCACAACATCCATCAGTTATGTCACGTTTGTCCTGATTACATATCAATTACAGCCAAAGATTATGTTAATGATAAAAGAACAGGCAAACTGAAGTTGTTGGAAGGGAATCATGCCAGAGCTTCTAATACTAACTTGTCAGAAGTGTTACAGTTGGGTAAGGCTGCTCGTGTAATGTTGTGTAAAAATGTGGATGTCATTGACGGTTTGGTAAACGGAGTTTGTGGTACTGTGACGGAAATGGTAATGTTAGAAAATGACACCTTTCCTAAAAAGGTTTATGTTCAGTTTGATGACCATCGTGTAGGCTTGCAGAGAAGGAAAACATCCCAGTCTCTGTCATCAAATTTAGCTGGATCTACACCTATTGAACCTGAGGAGGAGAGAGCCACTGTTAAGGGTGGATTACGTCGACAATTTCCTCTTAAATTAGCTTGGGCGGTTACGGTTCATAAAGTTCAGGGACTCACTCTTGAAAACGCCGTTGTTAGTTTTAGGAAAATATTTGCACCAGGTCAAGCATATGTAGCACTTAGCCGTGTAACAAGTCTTTCAGGACTCACAATTCAGGACTTTGATGAAAAACGAATCTATTGTAAAGATGACATTACAGTTGCAGTTAACGATATGACTCCTTTTTTGACTCCAAACCCACAGTTCGACAGATTTAACTCTTCCACATTCACTGTGTTTTTAATGAATGTCCAAAGTCTGAATCGACACGTTAAAGACTTGGCTTTCTGCACACAGCATTTGCAACCTAATTGCATTGCTGTCACAGAAACATGGGTATCTACAGACAGATCAGATGCAGTACAGATTGATGGCTATAGTTTTTACAACTGCCCACGAGGTTTAGCTTATTCTAGTACCCATGAGTCATTGATTGCTTTTCAAGAACAACAACATGGTGGTGTTGGCTTTTATACCGCAGATGGTGTGGCATTTAAAATGTTGCAGGCTCCAGACGTCAACTTGGAGAGTTTAGTGTATAGCTTTGTTAACTTACACATAGTACTTGGACTCCTTTATCGACCTCCTTTGTATCCCCTTTCTTTGTTTAAAGTAAATTTAACAAAGTTGCTTGATTGGCTGGAGGTACAAAGTGAGACATTAGTGCTAATGGGAGATTTTAATGATGACATTTTAAAATCATCAACAATATTAAAACTTTTGACTGACAGAGGCTATGCCCAAATAGTCAAACAGCCAACAACCGAGAAAGGCACTTTAATAGATCATGTCTATGTAAAATCCAACAAGTATATAACAGAAGCATCTGTTATTCCAACATATTTTAGTGATCATCAGGGCATCATGTGTGATTTTACACGGCTTTAGTTTACCTCAAAAACAGATTTGATTTGATCAACACCTAACTGCAGAATTTGTAATGTAAAGGTGTGTGTGTGTGTGTGTGTGTGTGTGTGTGTGTGTGTGTGTGTGTGTGTGTGTGTGTGTGTGTGTGTGTGTGTGTGTGTGTGATCAATTTTAGCTTTACTTTACTAATATTTTACTTACATGAGCTATCTGTACTGAGAGCAAAGTCAATTTCGTTGTACACCTATGCAATGACAATAGAACTTATATATATATATCATACATATAGTCTGTCAGAACTTTTCTATATGAAATATATTGGATGTATTGTTTTTAAGCAGTGTACATGTTTCGATGCCGTTGAGGGGTTGTGCACACTCAGGACAACTTCGCTGCCGCGTTCCATGTGTAAGAGCAGGGGTTGCAGGACAATGTGCGCACAGGAGTGTAGCAAGATTTTTAAGCTGTGGGTGTTGAAATTTCTCTGATGCATATAGGTGAGAAGTGTTACATTTGCAAACTATTTCGCTGTCATGAGAGCAACGAAGGGGGTAGTAACGCGCGGAACATTTTGGTGTCGTGCATTTGTCATGGCACTAGAATTTCGGGTGTGGTGCAGCACCACGCCTATGTAGGAAAAACACTAACTGCTGCTGTATGCTTCACCATTTCTGTGATTTCTTCAATTTTCATGTCCCCTACTGACCTAGTCAAAATAACTTTGAGCCATTTCCCACCTTCTCTCAGCTCTAGAATGCTCTTTCCCCTTGTCCTCCGCATTAATCTCTCACCCACTTTTTAATCAAAACTAAAAACGATCAGCAATTAATACACTAATTTTATCTTTTTAATGTTTGTGAGTGTGTGTGATTGTGAATGTGAGTGTGATTGTGTGTATTTCATCTTCTTTGTTGCAAAATGTCTAGGATGTATTGGAAAGCTTTTAAACATATTTTGTACATCAAAATTAAATGTGTTTAAAAGCTTTCTAAAGGTTTCGTTTCCTGCATTAAGATGGCATTTATTGAAATTAAACTGAAAATCATTAGTACAATTGGCTTCTCATTCATCACTATTGAATGATGTAACAATTCAACACCAAATTATGCATGATGTTAAAAATTAAACTGGTGAATTCCATGCTGTTTTAATGCAGGGTTTGCTTTACCTGGTAAAATGCACAAAAAAGCAAAGGCAATGGTCTGGTCTCCCACTTGTGGGACAGGGTTCAAATCCCTGTGTTGCCCTGCTAATTGTGTTGATCACTGGAAAAACATATTATTCAAAAAGGCAAAAACAATAAAATTTAAGTTTAAAATCTTACTTGCTGCAATTCACCCTAGAACTAAACACACATTTTGATTTCAAGGACAATTGATAAGATCACACCCATGGGCATTTCTAGCCTGCTTTTGTGAGTACTGAAGCACCCCTAAATTCATCTCTAGCACCCCTAAAGATTAACATTTATATATTTATTTATTTTTACAATTTATGGTGATTTTTAAACACATTACTAATATCTAAAAACAATAGGACAAAACATTGTTTTACAAACAATAATATAGCAAATCTCCCCTGTCTCAAAAATGGTTTGATCGTGCTCACCTTTCCAGCCTCTACTCTGAGCCTTCCTGAGTGGCTGACATACTGCCATTAGAAACCACGTTTCTTTCTGTGGGATAGTCCTGAATTTACATTATTTTTCATAGGTCTTTGTATCTTGCATAAACTGATTGTGTGGCGAAAACAGCAGCTGCCAATCAAACTAGAAGGTGGGACTTTGACGATGGTCTGGCCACTCACGAACCTCCATACCAAATGGTAACATCAGAGTGATCCAGGACTCATGGGAGATGAGCGCAGTGGAGAAATGCTGTTACAATAAAGGCTGAAGGGTTAAAGTTTCTCAGGTTCTTCAGTAAGACAGGCTGGTGCTAAAGAAGCCCAATAATAAGCTTCTAACACAGACCAAGTACTTGTGTTGTTTCATAGCCAAACCCTTTTGAATAGCATTTAACAGTTGAAAAAATCTAATTATATCCTTGATTATTTCTTCAGACATGTCTGAAGAAAAAAAAATCAGAACATTAAATTTAAATCTAACTTATGTCAGAGATCAAAGTCACTAATTATTGTTTTCTCTCCTTTAAATTTCTACTGCAAGAGACTATTTGTCATTTTTGCTAAGCCACCATTCTGTTTTAGTTTTTTAAATTCTGGAGAAAAAAAAGACAATTTATCAAAAAAGTTTGAATTTATTTCAATGGGATGTTGATATTAGTGGAAAATTATGTGAAAATAAGTATAAATTGATCTAAAAAATATTACTGTTACTTTTACTGTCATTTTATTGTGGAAAGTTAGACAAATCTGTTCATGGGTTTACAAAGGTCACTTATGAGTAGAGGTGTGAATCTTCACTAGTCTCACGATTCGATTCGATTACGATTATTGTGTCAGCGATTCAATTCGATTCGATATCTCGATGCATCACGATTATTTCATGTGGATTTCATGTCATCAATAAATATATGTTAGACATTTGCTTTTTTATTTAACAAAAACTTTTATTTGCATAAATATGCAGTAAACAGCTTTCTGATAACAGTCCTTGGGAAAGACGCACAGGCACATGGTACAAAACATTTGAAGCATTAGTTTGCATTTAAGAGGATTGCACAGCAAAAAAAAATCTCTTTCCTCCTTAAACATTAATGTCTCAGGCTGTTGGAAAAACATGTTCTGTAGATGCTAACAAAATATTTAACAACTCTGAACAACCGTAAATGAGAAATAATTATTTGGAAAGTATTCTCTCCTGTGATAACAGTCCTTATACAAAAGTGCAAAACTTTAAATTTAAGAGGACTTTAGAACATAAAAAAAATATCTCCTTATTTGACATTCACTTCTCAGGCTGTGTGGGGGAAAGAAACGTGTTCTTCAGATGTTCGCAAAATCTACCAATACTGGCATATTTTGGAAAACCCACGAATAATACATAACAGTCCTTGGGACAACAAAAAGTGCAAACATTTTAACATTTGTTTGAATTTAAGAAGATGTACTGAAAAGTAATGATGACTAGTTAACATTTGGAAGTTGAAGGTTTTTGTGCAAAAACACCAGTTGATCTACATGCTGTGGTTTGAGAGTAGATCTTTTGGCCGTGACAACATCTCCAGCAGTGCAGAAAACACGTTCTGCAGATACACTTGTTCCAGGGATGCAAAGGTATCGTTTTGACAGTCGAGCCAGGAGAGGAAATGCAACCTTGTGTACCCTCCACCAGTTTAAAGGGTCCTCAGACAGGGGCAATGATGACGTTTTCAAATAATTATCCATTTCCTCTTCAGCTCTGACATAGGGGGTCTTGGATTCTTCACTAACCTCAACATCATTGAAAGACTGTCCCAGCAAGCTCACAAGTAATGATGTAGGCTTTCTTTTAGCAGCCGAGGGATCGTCTGCTGAGGTTCCATCCTTCTGAACTTCGGGTTGCACCGGAACTTTTGGGTGCATGGCCAGAATACACTCCTGCTGTTTAGGGAAAAAATAAAAAATCATTATTTTATCTGATAGGGAACTTACTAGTCTATCTAAATTGTATGGCTTTCAATATTTTAAAATATTTAATAATGATTAATCACACTTTTGAAAATGTTGATGTACCTTATCATAATATTTATTTTTATTATGATAAAAGCATTCCGATGGATTTACTCATTTTATGCTAATGTAAATAATTACAACAACACCAAACATGACAAATTATTAAGAATATTATACAGAAATTTATGTTAATTTAAAAAGAAAGTGATGAATTTACCTCCAAACATGTTGCCTCCTCAGTCACTTCTCTGTAGACATCTGATCGCTCCTTCTCTGTCAGGAAAGGTAATCTCTTAAAGCGGGGATCCAGGGCCGAGGCTGTACAAAGCATTTTCTTCTCTGCCTCAGAGCTGTACCTGTTCATGAGATCTGTTCTGACAGCATTCTTGATGTCGTGAATCATGGGTGAGTCGCTGATGCTGCTGGTCATGTTTTGGAGAAGTTGTGCCTTGAGTGGAGCAATCAAGGAGATGGTTGGATTGCTTTCCTCAGATATTAGTGTGGTTGCATCTTTCATTGCTTTTAATGCACTGACAGCGTCTTCAGCGTTAGATACATCTGTCTCGTTGAGCGTGCAGATGTCAGACTCTCCTTTTCTAACTTCCGGTGACAACAAGGTGGCACAAATGGCAGGTTGCTGTTCCAAAAACCTCTGGACCATGTCGTACATCTGTGAGTAGTTTTTGATTTTTCAGACCCAAGCATTTCTGATTTACCTTTAAACAGTGGCTTGCTGTCGTGCTACGATGGAAGAATGTGGATATACGTCTGATTCTTCCCAGAAGCCTGGTAAGCGATGCAACTCGAAGCCCACGTTGTGATGCCAGGTTCAAGGTGTGAGCAAAGCATCTGACATGTTTGAATTTTCTGATTTGAGCTGCAAGAATCATGTTTGAAGCGTTGTCTGTAACCAGGACAATATCTTTATCTGACAGCTGCCACTCTGAAACAACATCTGAAAGTAGCTCTGCCAGATGTGCACCTGTGTGAGACTCATAAACAGCTCTCGTCTGCAGCACGTGGGAAATAATCTGCCAGTCCTCGCTCATGTAGTGTGCCGTCACTGTAATATAGGACTCTGTTGCCACTGAAGTCCAGGAATCGCATGTTATTGCTACTAAATTAGCTTTGCTCATGGAGGTTAATATCTTGGCTTTGGTTTCATCATACAGTGCAGGAATTACCTGTTCTGCGAAGTGGCTATGTGCAGGGACCTTGTATCGTGGCTCCAGTGTCTTTAACATGTGTTTGAACCCAGGGTTTTCCACGACAGAATACGGTGGTAAATCCTTCGCAATGAAAGCCCCCACAGCCTGGGTTATTTTCTTCCCTTTTTCTGAGTTGGGAGGTATTATTGAGAGAGCCGCATCAATTTTTGGCTGCGCAGGGCTGGGCGGTTCAACATCCGGTGTTATTGTTAGCAACTCAGGGTGGAAACGGCTAACATGATTCCTTAACTTGG